TTGTGGTATAAATATTATTATTTTTATTATAATTCTCTTAGGTACTTCGGACACAAAATCAATTGATTTTGGGTCTTGTTTCAAGATCCAATTTTGTTGGATCTGATGTGAGGACCTAATGCTCTTAAGTTTTGCGTCAAGACCCATTTTTCTTTGCTCCAAACCCACGATCCATTGCTATTAGGTCCTGCGGCAAAATCCAATGTTCTTGGGTCATGAGTTTCTAAATATAATTATTGGTGTTATCAATATTATTATATTTATTATAATTAAAAATATTCATTTTAAAAATAGTATTATTTGTGTTATAAATATTATTATTTTTATTATAATTCATAGTATTAATATTGAAAATATTATCATTTGTCTTATAAATATTAGTATTTTTATTATAATTGAAAGTATTAATATAAAAATACTATTATTTATGTTATAAATATTATTATTTTTATTATAATTCTTTTGGGTGCTCTAGACACATAACCAATTGATCTTAGATTTGGCATCAAGACTCAATGCTCTTATGTCCTACATCAGGACCCATTTCACTTGGGTCTTGGGTCCTGCTTCAGGACCCAATGCTCATGAATCTTGAATTTCTTAATACAATTATTTATGTTATCAATATTATTATGTTTATTATAATTAAAAGGTATTCATTTTAAAAATAGTATTATTTTTATTATAAATATTAATATTTTTATTATATTTAAAAGTATTAATATAAAAAAATATGATTTGTGTTATAAATATTATTAATAAAATAATTAATAAATTTTAAAAAAATATCATCGATATTGAAAAATAACCGTAGATTTGATTTGAATTGTAAAATTAAAAATTATTATTATTATTATTATTCAATTTAAAAAAACTATTATTACTATCAAGTAAAAACCATAATTCTTTGTAGAAGATTAAAAACATGAAAATTTTGACAAATAAATTAAATAATATAATTAATATTATAAATATTATTATTGAGTTTGACATTGTAATCAGACTCAATACTTTTACTTCCAACATCGCAACCAGAATCAATGCTTTTGTATTTTAATTTTTTATAATATTTTATAAAAAAAACATGACTTAGCGTGAGTCACCTATGCAGTATTTGGCACTGTAGTCGGAAAGTGCTTTTAAAAAAATTAAAATTTTTTTGTTTTAAATTAATATATTTTTGATATTTTTAAATTATTTTGATGTGCTGAATTTAAAAATAATTTTTTAAAAAATAAAAATTTTAATATATTTTAAAATAAAAAACATTCTAAAAAAAATAATCACTACCATATTTTTAGATATCCTTTAATATATATATAAGGAGCCGCTAAAAAACACTTTGCAGATAATTATAGAGATGTGTGAGGTATTACAAAAATCCTTGGATTCACTTTTTGCCTGGTGACTTGAAAATCTTATGGAAGTCGAGCTATATATAACCGTACACCTCCAAAAGGTAATTAATACTCAATGGTTAATTCTTATGGTCTCTCTCAGAGTTTTGATTTTGATTTTTTTGGGTTTCCTGATTTTGAAACAGTTGGCTGTCTTAAAAAAAAAGAGTTGAAATCCACTCAATTTCAGTAGTATACTAGTCTCCTTATACGTATTACGCTATGGATAAGAATTCAAGCTAACCTTTTAACGTATAAAGAGAAGGCATTAGTGTTTTGAATGTTTTTTCATAGGATCATTAAATTTATTACTTTATAAACAATAAAATAATCCATGTAGATTTAAAAATATATTAAAAGATAAATCATAAAAAAAAATTATGAGTGATAAATAAAAACTGAATTAGACAATTGATAAAAGATAAATAAACAAGCAAATATTTTATCTTGTTTATAATTTTCATTTTATATATTTTATTTATTTTGAAAGTTTTTACTAGTCGGTGAGTACATATAATTTTTATTTTTATAAATATATAATGAAAATACAACTTATTTATCTCAAATTTAATAAAAAATAAAGATAAATTATAAATATTTTTATTTGTATCTTAAAAAAACACACAATGTGTTTGTTTGTTGAATTTCCGACCACTAAAGATGTGGTCAAAAAATTAAGTTAGGGTTTTTTGAATTTAAAAATTTATTTTTCAATTTATTTTCATTTAAAAACTTATAATAAACATTCTTGTAATGTTAATAAAGCAATTCCTCAACTCAGAACACATTTAAATTGACTTAAAAACACAAAATCAAAAGGAGTAAAAATTATCTTACAATCCTGATCTATTTTTTTCATTAAGATAATAAAAAAAAATCTTAATAAAACCCATCTCGTTAAATAAAAATTATTAATAATAAAAATAAAATTTTTATCATTAAAATATAATAAACAGGAGATTTCTCTCTCCCTCACTATTTTTCTGCTACGAGCTTCTATTTCTACTCTCAAATCAAAGAACAAATAAATAAATAAAAACAAAGAGGTTTAATACATAAACTAAGATCCTAAAAGGTACAGGGAGACTAAATATAACTTTTTTTCACATGAATTTGAGATTAGCCACCTGGGTTGTTTTTATCTCTCATTTTTGTTTTTTTAATTATGTTTTAATATTACAAATTAAAACATATCTCCTTAAATTAACCTAAAATCTTATCAAAACTTTCATATCTCAGATAAATGAAAAGAACTTGAATCATTAACTATAAAAAATAAAAAATACAGAATATAAAAGGATTAAATAAAAAAATAAAATAAACAAACAAATGAATTGCGGGAGTGTGTATAACCTTGTTATGAAAAAACTAAAGGAGCTCAATCATTTAGTGTAGATAATGAGAAAATTCACAATGAGCTTATACTATATAATTACTTTTTTGTCTTTCTCTGTGCAAAGTTTTTGCCTTGTTTGTAGGGGTAAAATAATATTTTTCATGAAACACAGGTTATTTGCAAATTAATTAAGAACAATTTAATAGTTTATATATTTTTTTACATGATTGAATTACATAGACGGCAACAAAAAATGAAAGGGCTAAGAGGACTTTTATGTAATTTCTTTAGAAATAGTGCAATTAATAAAATTAAAGGATGAGTCAAGGGGTATTTTTAATATTTTTCCATCATCTTTGCATTATTCTCAATTTAGATTAGGGGCAAATTAGTATTTTTATAAAAATAATAACAAAAAAAAAAATTGTTAATGCATATGGGACATATGTAATGAAGTGGATATCACCCTTGATATCACCCATGCCTTTTAAGGGGCTCGTGCGATATTGTCTAGTGATCAAAATTTTTCAACTATGATATTTTTTTTTTAAATTAATGTAGGTGTCCGGGTCAGCTTATACGTACCATTACTAATTTTACAGACCCTGAAGTTAACGACCATGTAAGCTTCTAGTGGTAATTATATGAGCAATAAAGGATTCAAATCTGAGATCATAAAAAAAATAAACCTCTTAGTTCTAAATTTTTACCACTTAGCCATCTTCCACTAATATTTTTTCTCTTTATTCTTTATAATTCATCCCAGGTTAGCTAAAAATCATGATGTACTCTTATTTATTTTGTCTTTTAATTTTGATTATTTTTTTATTGGTAATTATTTGTTTTGGATTTTTTTTATTTTTCTATTTTTTTCTAGATTAAGTCATCATTATTATTTTATATCATTTTTTGAATTTTTTTCAACTATTCCCTCCACATTCTGTTTCATTTGTTTAATATTCAATTTTTATTTTTATTTTTTAATTTGTTTTTTAATTTTTTCTCAATATTTTTATTTTATTTGTTTTTTTATCAAGTTTTGATCTTGATTCTTTTAATTATTTGTTTATTATCTTTTCATCTTTTATGTTTTTGATTAAGTCTCTTATTATTTTCTTCATTAATTTTTATACTAGATTTGATTTTTATTTTTTTATTTTTTTATTTTTTATGGTTAAGAATTTTATTCAAGGTTTTTTTTGTCTTAAATAGGATTATTTTAGTCTCATAATTTTAATTTTTAATTTTAAAAATTAATTCGATTTAATTTTATGTTTTTAATTTTTTTATTTTTTTACACTAGGTTATTGGACCTTGGACTTTCTATTTTTTTCCCATTTCCTTCCTCTATGGTTATCCTGAGTTGCGGTTATTCAAGCTAACAATGTTTTTTTTGATTTTTTTTTAAATTTTATTATTTGATATTGAATTGTTGGGTTTTAAGATTTTTTATTTTTTATATTTTTTTAATAAAATTATCTTGGATTGGAAGTTTATTAGGTTAACTTTGTGTGATTTGAGTTTATTTATTTAGTTTTGATCTTTTTTTCTAGATTATTTTTTTTTAAATAATTTTTTTATTCTAATTTTATATTATGAATTATAAGTTAGTAAAGTGAACCTGAGTTGACTCAAGTTTTTATCTTTCAAGTTTTTTTAATTTTTTTTTTCAATTTATCCTTTAAAATTAGCTTTATTGGGTCTCCAACTTTTTATTTTTTTAATTGTAATTCTTAACAAAAAGATTAATTATTATTTAAAAATAGTTAAATTAAATAATTAAAAAAGAATATATTGATTAAAAATTAAATTTAAAAAACAAAACAAGTGCAAGTACTGTTTATTTAGTGATCAGTGAAATCGACTTCCCTCCTCTTTTTTTGAAAACCATGATTTTTACTTGCGTGCGTGCGTGCGTATAAAATAGCACTAAAATCCAATAACAGCTCAACAACAATAATGCAGTTATAGTTTTTTTTAAATTTTTTAAAAAACATTTTTGAAACACAAAAATAAATAAATTTTTAATAGCCTAGATTAGTTTTTGATGTGTTTAAGGTTTGTTTGTATATTCTATGATCAAATAAAATGGAAAGTGGGTAAAGGCATAACAACGATGTTGATGTTGAAATATGAGATATGATATTGATTCCATCTTAATTACTAATCATGAAAAATTAAAAGGAGAATCATTAATTTGCAATTTATTTTCTGTGTCTATTATTAGTTATATATTATAGGAAATATTAACTTTCTAGATTTCTATGATGTATCTGAGGAGAAATGAGCGACAATTCAAGTCTTTAGTGATGACTATACAATATAAAAAATCATTTCCTGATCTAGCAGGGGCGGTAAATAAGCTCAGTGAGAGCGTCAAGAATATCGAGAAGAATTTCGATACTGCACTTGGTTTCGAAGACAAACCCGATTCTAGTACCAGCACTGAAGGTACTTTACCTACTACTACCACTACTTTTTACACGTTATTTATATTATTTTATTACATCTTTCAAGTAAAATGATTTGGCGACATTCGTTTATTAGACAGATTTAAATATCCTAGTTGTTGAAGTTACACCTTGTGGAATGCTTGAGCTCATGCATGCTGTGTTTAAGTTATAATGGTGGATTAGAAATAGGTGGTTGATCTCACTATTTTGCAACAATGTTGACCTTAGTGCTCATGAGCATGGAAGTTAATTGATAATATGCTGTATTGTGCTGAAGTTTAATTAGAAACTAGGGAACAACATGGTTGCATTTTCTGCACCTCTGTTTAAATGCTCTAACTTGTGTGTATTGAGACCAATTTTATTTGGAATCTTCGTTCCTTTTGCTTTCCAGCTTCGGGATTATGGCCAGTTATGTCCTTTATGGGGCATAAAAGCGAGGATAGTACAGTTGAATCTTCAGAGGAAACTGTATCTCCACAGAAATCATCAACTGCTGAGGAGAAAGAGACACAAAATTCTGACACAGAACAAACCACAGCTTTAGAAGAAAATCAAATGCTTGACAGAAAAAAAGATGGCGAGTATCTGCAGATTGCTGAGAAAAAAGATGGTGTCATTTCAGACTCTGGCAAAGCTGAACTCGATCCCAAATTGCAATCAGAACCTAAGGCTGTCGAACCTCCTGAGCCAGTTGTCCATGATGTTAAAATACCAGATTCAGCTGATGAATTACAGGGGAAAGAAATTTCGGAGGTAGGGCCTGCTGAAAATTCAGATACATTGGAGATCATGTCAGAAGCACCCAGGGTTGATGAAGTGGAGGCTGCTTCCATCTTACATAACAAGTCACATAATGTATTTCATGCCAAGAGCATAGATGAACAAGAGACACAAGCTGAGGAGACTGTAGAACAAAGTTCTATTCAAGCTGAGGCATCAACTGATATCCTAGCTGAAGCATCAAGTGATAACCGATCTGAGGCTTCAAGTGATACCCAAGCTGAAGCTGCAGTTGATTCATCCGGTTCACAGCCAATAATGAGTGCTGAAGTGAGTGACATGGCCTGTGAACTCTCCCTGTCCACTGCATCTCCCTCAAGTGAGGCTTCAGAAATGGTTTCTGGATCAGTTTCTAAGGTAGATGATGGCAATGATCAGACAGTAGGAGGAGACGAGAGAGTCAATTATGGCGAAGTTGGCAGTAAAGAGCAATGCCTGAGCTCAGGGTTGAATATATCAGACTGTATAGATTCCATGCTTGAACTAGAGAAGGTGAAGACTGAGATTAAAATGATGGAAACTGCATTACAAGGTGCTTTAAGGCAAGCTCAAGTATTACTACATGCTACAGATATATTATGCTGGAAAAAAAAGTCTTCAAACTGAGCCCCATTGATGCATCGCTACACTTATTTTCAAAATTGGACTACATTATATGTTTATGCTGGGCAAAAAATTCAATTTTGGTCTCTACTGAGCTTTTTACAGTATACATACCACAATCAAAATACACTGGAACATCTTTTCTCATTTTCTTAGAATATTTCACTGGATGATTCAACGTTCTTATCTTCATGATAGCCCTATAATTTATAGTGGATAGCAAGATCCTCTCCAGTTTTTTAA